AAAAGCAGATAAGCGTATATAAACAACCTAGAAATGATATTTTAGATAATAAATTGCGTATACATAAATAACACAAAAATAATATAAAAATGTATTGTAACAAAGACAGGGAGATTATGTTAAGGCTAGGCAAATAATAAATAGATAATAAAAACTAACTTCGTATGGTCTAATTGCCCATTTCGGGTTAAATAACGCAGTTTATAGTTTAAAATTCTTTTCATACCAATTCTTTGATCTGAGGCGAAATTAAATCCAACAATGTAAAATCCGTAGATGTTTATGATTTTAATATTAAGGATTTGCATCATCTGATTTAAAAAATCGAGTTCTTTTTTGCATTTCTTTGAAGTTTTAATAGAGTAGAATATTAATCAAGATTATTATTTATTTCATCTTAGTGGCTGTTCTCCTGGCGATCTTGGAATTTGATGTTGTACCATTCCATCGGCTCGGTTTTTTTGCAATGATCCGAAGATTTCTTTCAAATTTACGGGTGACACGATTTCTGTGGTCCTACTCATAGTTTTTTCCATCAGTCTACCTCTTGTAATGGTAAGTACATTTGTTTCTTGTATTATCATTTATTACTTTGCATCTTACGCTAATCCGGAATTGTCCGGAAATTAAGGCATTATTCGCTTTATATAAAACATCTATTATATTACCATCTATTATGAAAAGTATTTTAAGCTAAATGTATTCTTTATTCAATGTTTTATTTTATCACTACTGTCAGAAATTAAAGTTATGATTTTATGCATATTCCTTATCATGTAAACCATATCGGAAACATTTACATACAATTGATAAAATTATATATATAAGTATTATCTTTTTCTAAAGTTATAACATGTCGATTTTATCGATTGTGTATAGACGCTTTGGTTTACATGATAAAGAAAATGAAAATCATAAGTTTCATCTTTGACAGAAGTGGTGAAATAACAACACTGAATAAAGAGCATCAAAATACTTCAGTTTAAAATATTTTTTATGCAATGAGCATCTTACATGAAGCATATAATAGCCATATAATATCATGTAAATATCTTGCATATATTTCTTTCGACTAGTTTGAAAATCGACTAATTGCAAAAATCTGGAAAGATCATAATTCGGAAATTGAAAAAAAAATTGAAAAAAAAATTGGATACGTATCTTTTGTACATCTCTGTACATATAGCAATCTATATATTATTCGTAAACAACAGAATATGTAAAAAAATTTAATCTTAACATATTTAAGATTATAGAATAAAAAGTCATGCAAAACTCAAGGTTAATATTAAATAATATAAAAATTAATTTTTAATTTTTAAAATAATTTTTAAAATATTCTTATAATTTTTAACAATAAATTAGTGTTTGTTTACGCAACTTTTAATGTAACTGAATTAATATTATAAGCTATTAGTTAATTAACCTTAATTTAATTTAATTTAAAAAAATGTTTACTTTATCCAATCCTGATTGTTGACAACAAAATACTATCGACAAATGTAAAAATTAAGTGACTTAACCCACTGCGACACTTTGCGAAATTTTCATGCCAGTTTATATAACATATGCAATAAGCAACGTATTAATTAATGATATTTTATTAATTTTAAGTCATATTTTTATCATTTAATTAATATAATTTCACTTTTATTGGAGAAAATATTTTCATATAACTAACAATCGTTATTCGATATTTCTCGAGAAATAAATATCAAATCGATATCAAGTTGACATCGATTTGATGGTTCATTGCTCGCTGGATATTATCAAATTTATTCTAATAGACGATTTGATATCAAGAACAATTTAAGTTCAAAGTATTGCTTAACATTTAAAATATTTTTAAATTTTAAAATTATAATTTAATCAATTTTCCGCTATGATCTAAAATGATGTTGATTAGTCATTTTAATGTCGTCATTTTTATGTCGTAATGATTTTTTGCTTTGCTTGAATACGGAGAAAAAAAGTGCATAATCTTTTCCTTTACGACTAAACTTGTAACAAATAACTCAAGAGTCAAGAGTAATGTATGTATGTAAAATTTTTTTTTATTTCAGATGTATATCACGGAATATGTCTGCCATAACGCTAACAGTTACGAGAAAGCGTCATGTCGTACCCGGGGTAGAATCTGGCTTTGGTACGGACACTATTTTGCAGGGCTCTCCACGCTCACATTTGTCTGCGAACTCACGAAACTCCTGATCGGTGAGCCGCGGCCGCACTTTCTCGACACGTGCAAACCGCGCGAGGTGGCCAACTGCACCGATGAGTAAGCACACGATTTTTTTCTAAGCCGCCTCTTCCTTTGTCCCAGCTAGCTTGGCACCTAAGCAATTGGGTCGATCTTTACATCGTTGGCGTATATAGGCAGCTCCGTGGAGGCGAACAGTAGTATTCGTGGGCCTATGAATGCGATGTAGGCTCTGGTAAAGAAACAAGAAAATACGCATCGAGCATCTACATATGAAACACATTAATTGCAACATAAGTTCTCTGTAATGAAGAGAATAGATAAAACATGAATAATTACGTTTTATCGTAGGATTTAAGGAATTAAAATACAATCTGTTTCATTATCATTTTTTATCAGATAAATTTTTGTTTATTCTAAAAGAAGATAGCTTATAGCTATTAGAGGAGATGTAATTATCAATCGCGAAGGAGATGTTGAAGGAGATGTACTTGTCCGTTAGGAAGCAGCCGATTATATGAGATGATATCCAAAAGTTTCCCGAAATTTATTTATTAAAAAATCATAGAAGAAATAATAATATAGACTCTTTCCGATTTTCTTTGTAGATATATCAGTTTTTATACGTGCACGAATACAGAGTTTTCCAAATGGTTCATCAACGATTCCAGCAAATCCTTTCCCTCTGGTCATTCAGCCTTATCTGTCTACACTAGCATCTTTTTGGTGGTAAGAATTTATAAAATTTTTCTTTATAACATTCTTAAACAAAATTCTTAAACAAAAAAATCGAAAAATAATCGGAATATCTTGTTAATTTAGTTCTAAAGTAATTAATACAAAGAATTACGGCATCAGCGAGTATTTCCTTATATCGATAGTCAGTAATATTTAAGTGATTAGAAAATTCTAAACAGAAAAATTTGAAAAAAATATACTATGTATTGATATATTAATTTTTACGGGACTTGCGAGATTAAGATGATCAATTTTTAATCAATCAACTTCGAGATATCAATATTCAAAAATCGGAATACAACTAAAAAGTTGTAATTTTTCCATAGATACATTATAAAATATTTTGTCATATTAATATATTTGTTCTGATTACTATACATATTAAGTCTGTTTTTTATTATTGGTCTGTTATTTATTATATTTTATTATTAAAAAAATTTCTTTTTGTTTTTGTCAAACTTTGAACATATATCTATTTTATTTT